CAGTGCCCCTGGCACAATCCCCCCCTGGTGCCACCCCCCACCCGGACCCTTTCCAGGTGGCATCGTACTTTGGGCACACGGTGGCCGTGGCTGATGTCGACGGGGACGGGTGAGAGCTGGGACTGTCCTCCCCCCCACCCCAACCATCCCCCAATGGGGCACCCTGGGGTGCTGCCCCCTGCCTGGCACACCCCTGGGTGCCACCAGCCCCCAAACCTGGGGACTCTGACTCCGGTGCTGGGTGCAGGCAGGATGACGTGCTGGTGGGTGCCCCCCTGTACATGGCCCGGCGCCCCGATGGCCAGCGCAGCGAGGTGGGACGCCTCTACCTCTACCTGGGGGGGGGGCAGCGGCCCCTCAGCCAGCCCCCCCAGACCCTGACGGGCACCCACCCCTACGGCCGCTTTGCCGCCGCCATCGCCAGCCTCGGGGACCTGGACAAGGACGGCTACGGCGGTAACACCGGCCTGGCACGGGGGTGGCGGGAAGGGGGGGCTGTGCCAGGGGACATGCCACCCCCACCCGCGGTGCCCAGTCTAAACCATTGAGGAAACTGAGGCAGGAGCACCCGGGTGGGTGGCGGTGCCAGGATGGGGCACCCAGTTGGGTGCTCACATCCCCTGTGTCCCCAGATGTGGCCGTGGGTGCCCCGTTGGGGGGTGACAGCGGCAGGGGGCAGGTCTTCATCTTCCGCGGGCAGAGCGAGGGTTTGATGCCGGTGCCCACCCAGCGCCTCGACAGCCCTTTCCCTGGCCCGGCCGCCTTCGGCTTTGCCCTGCGTGGTGCCGCTGACCTGGATGGCAACGGCTACCCGGGTACGGCCCGTCATGTGGCCACCACTGTGCCATGCCGGTGCCACCTTGGTGCCACCCGCCCCATCACTGACCCCCTGCTTGTCCCTGCAGATCTGCTGGTGGGGGCTTACGGGGCATCCAAGGTGGCCGTGTACTGGTGAGTGCCCGTCCCGCCGGCTCCGGTGGCAGCATGGCCTGGGGGGTCCCTGCCCGGGTCCCCTGGCACCTCAGCGCTGTCCCCATGTCCCAGGGGACAGCCCGTGGTGGTGGCCCAGACCCAGCTGAGTGTCCCTGATGGGCTGAACCCCGAGCTCCTGGCGTGTGTCCTGCCTGGCTCTGACACCCACGTCAGCTGGTGAGCCATGTGGTGGGGACATGGCCATGGGAACGCCGCTGTTGGGACATCACCGGTGTGGGGACATTGCCCTGGGGACGGTGGCAGGTCCCTGAGCATCCCTGGGTGCTGTCCCCCTTGCAGCTTCCCTGTGGTGCTGTGCGTCAGCGTGACGGGCCAGAGCATCCCCCAGAAAATCCGTGAGTGCCGGTGTCACACAGGGGGGGACAAGGGGCACCACCGGTGTCATCAGGGGTGGCACTGCTGCCATGTGTCCCCCCACCCACTGTGCCATGCCAGGCCTCGACGCAGACCTGCAGCTGGACCGGTTGAAGCCCAAGCTGTCCCGGAGGGTCCTGCTGCTGCAGGACCACCAGTCGTCCTGGCACAGGGTGCTGGACCTGGCCCCGGGGACACCCCCGCTGTGCCACAACCTCACCGCCTACCTCCGGGTACGGGGACGGTGCCAGCGTGGGCTGGCACGGGTGGGGACGGTGGCATCCCCAGCCCAAGGAGGGTGGGGGACAGGGATGGGGACAGTAGCATCCCCAGCCGGGATGGGGACAAGGATGGGGACAGTGGTGTCCCCAGCCCGGGTGGGTGGGTCTGGGGTGCCCACTGGGGTGCTCTGCCCATGGGTCCCCCCAGGACGAAGCCGACTTCAAGGACAAGCTGAGCCCTGTCGCCCTGAGCCTGAGCCTGGCGCTGTCCGGGGGGACCCAGGGGCTGGTGCTCTACGGGGACACCCTGGTGCAGGCGCAGGTAGGGGGGGACGTGGCTGAGCTGGGGACATCGTCATGGTACCCCAGGGTGGGCTCGTCCCCACGGTTGGGCCAGGGGACATGTGGGTACCCCCACTCTGGGGCACCTGCTGCCACTGCTGTGCTCTGGCTCCATGGTCCCCAGTCTGTCCCCAGTGGCCCCAACCCCTCCCTGGGACATAGCCCCTGTCCTCTCCCTTGTCCCCAGTGCTTCTGCGGGATGTCCCCCCTGCCTCCCCTACTGTCCCTGCTCCCTCCTTGGGTCCCCCACTGTACCCATTGCCCCCCTGGGATGTGCCCCCTACCCTCCCTGCTGTCCCCAACCACTCCATGGGATGTCCCCTCCCCACTGTCCCTGCTCCCTCCTTGGGATGTCACCCCAGTGCTGCTCCCTGGGATGTCCCCCCAGTACCCTGCGCTGTCCCCAGTCCCTCCCTGGGATGTCCCCTCTCTACCCACTGTTGTCCCCAAAGACTCCCCATCCCACATCCCCCACTGCCCCCCTGTTGTCCGCCCCCCCCCCAGACCCACATCATACTGGAGGACTGCGGCGATGACAACCTCTGCGTCCCCGACCTCCGCCTGGCCGCCGACACGTGAGCCCCCGGGTGGGTGAGGGTGGGTGCCCGGTGTCACCCTGGGGTGCTGAGCCCTGTCCCCGTGTCTCCCCCCCAGGCCCAGCAGGCGCCTGCTCATCGGGGCGGAGGCCGTGCTGCGCCTGCGTGCCAACGCCAGCAACGTGGGCGAAGGTGCCTTCGAGGCCGAGCTGCGGGTGCAGCTGCCCCCCGGCACCCACTACCAGGTGGCCCGCAGCAACATGCCGGTGGGTGCCCAGCAGTGGGGGTCCTAGGGAGCTCCCGGGGTGGGGTTGGGGCTCATACCATGCCGTTGGTGGCCATCACCCTCCATGTGGGTGCCCGGTGGTGATGGGTGCCAGCGGGTGCAGAGGGTGGGGGGGCTTACACCCTGCTCTTGGACCACGCAGGTCCCCGGGGTGGTTGGTGCATGGTGGGGGGGTCCATGATGTGTCACCTCCCCGTGTCTGCACCCCATAGGGGCAGGAGAAGCTGAGCTGCAACCCCAGGAAGGAGAATGGGACCCACGTGGTGCTCTGCGAGTTGGGCAACCCCATGAAAGCGGGTGCCCAGGTAAGGGAATGTGGGTTTGCCCCGGCTGCGCCCATCACCCTGGCGTCGGGGCTGGGCATGGCCCGTGGCGGTGGTGGCGGGTCACCCACTCACCCTCCTGCTGCCTTCCCAGATCACCGTGGACATGGAGCTGAGCGTGTCTGGGCTGGAGGACATGGGTGATGCCATCACCTTCCAGCTCCAGCTGCGGAGGTGACACTGTGCCAACCCCCCGTCCTCCATTGGGACCTGGGCACCTGGGACTTGGTGGCCTCAGCGTGTCCCCAGACTCAGTGGCCATCCCTCACCCCAACTGTGTCCCCACAGCAAGAACAGCCCCAGCTCCACCAACACGTCGGTGACGGTGACGGTGCCCGTGGAGGCGCAGGCGGAGATGGAGCTGCGAGGGTGAGGGTCTGGGGGGGCATGGGGGACCGGGGGGGGATCACGGGGGGACACTGACCCCCCTTTCCTGCCAGCAACTCCCTGCCTGCCACCACGGTGCTGCCCGTGAGCTGGCACAAGGTGGAGGGCAGCCGGCGGCTGGAGGACCACGGCATCAAGGTGGAGCACGTCTACCAGGTAGGGTGCTGCACCCATGGGTGCCTGGGGGACTGTTCCCTCTGTCCCCTCTCCGTTGTCACCTCACTGTCCTCCCCCAGATCCACAACAAGGGTCCCAGCACCGTCAGCGGGGTCACCCTGCGCCTCACCGTCCCCCACCAGCTGGGTGGCCGCACTCTGCTCTACCTGCTGGAGCTGGGCACCGAGGGGGGCATGAACTGCACCAACCCACCCGGCCTCAACGCCGAGCAGGTAGGGTGCTGCCTGGGGACCGGCACCCACCTGCTGGGTGCTGGGTGGGTGTCAAGGTGGTGTCCCCCCCACCCTTTTATTTCCTTCCAGCTGGAGATCCCCCACCCCACGGGCGCAGCACCCCGAAATGGCACCCACCGGCGGGAGCGCAGGGAAGTGGAGGAGCCGCCGGGTGCTGGGCTGGAGGAGCCCATCCCCGTGGTGAGCGGGTGCTCCCTGGGGACCCGCAGCCCATGATGGGTGCGGGGGCTGGGGGGGTGCTCCCCAGGGTGCTGGGGTGGGGGTCAGGGTGATGCCCGCCGTGTCCCGCAGGACTGCAGCAACGCCACGTGCGTGGACATCACCTGCTGGGTGCCCAGCCTGGCCAAGGACCAGCGGGCGATGGTGAGCGTCCGTGCCCTGCTCTGGATGGACACCCTGCAGCAGGTACTGTCCCCTGTTGGGGACAGGGAGGGGACAGGGCTGGCACTGCGTCCCTAGGGTGTCCCCGCCATGTCCCCTCCTGCAGAGTGGTCCCAGGGGACCTGCAGAGAGCAGGCCTGGGAACGCTGGGTGCAGGGTTGTGGGTGCCCCGTTGGCTGCCAGCACCCCTGATGCCATGTCCCCATCTGTCCCCACGTGTCCCATGTCCATCCCCAGCGGGAACACCTCCTGAAGCAGTTCCTCATCCATTCGCAAGCTTGGTTCAACACCTCGGCCATGCCCTACCGCGTCCTGCCTCGCGTCCTGCCCGCCGGCGAGGCCAAGGTAGGGCTGGCACAGGCTGGGGGGGGGGGGAATGACACAGGGACAGGCTGTGGTGGCAGTGGTGTCACCCATCCATCCTTCCGCAGGCTGTCACCAAGGTGGTGCGTGCCAGCCCCGGGGGCGAGGGGGCCGTGCCGGTGTGGTGGGTGGTACTGGGGGTCCTAGCCGGGCTCCTGCTCCTCACCCTCCTCATCCTCCTCATGTGGAAGGTACGTGGGGGGGACAACGACACTGGGGACACCGGTGACACCCCGTCATGCTGGTGGGACCCCAATGGCACTGAAGTGACCCATGAAATGGGAGACCCAGCCCTGGGGGTGGGGGCTGTGGGCACAGGGTGGGGGGCAGCACTAGGAGTGATGCCATGGGGTCCCCTGGGGGTGACGTCGTGGGGTGCCCCGGGGCAGAGTTGTCACCGTGTCCCTCTTCCAGGCGGGTTTCTTCAAGAGGACACGGCCACCGACCGAGGAGGACATGCAGGAGCTGGCGCCCAGCCAGGCCCAGGAGCCGGAGGGTGCCCAAGGCTAGTGGGGTGCCCCTGCCCCCCCCCCCCACGGCATGTCCCCCAGCCCAGCCCCC